CAAATAGCAGTGATTATTTGATAAGATAGAACGAAAGGAAACCTATCAGTGTGAGGTCAAGCTATGAGGTCAAGCTATAGAGGCTCTAGCAAAGCAGACAGTTGAGTGAAGTGTGTAGTACAGCTGTACTGGTACTTGGCAGAGAAAAAACATGTTTTATCAATATGAGAGAAAAATATCGTTTTTGTTACCTTTGTGAGATCTTAGGATTTATGCAATTATCATCCTAGATTTTCTTTTGATGACACTTTAAATTAAGGTCCCAGGCAAATAAATATTTGTTGATGAAACTGAGAAATGATCATTAGAATTTAATGGATGAAAAGGTGTAAAGACCTAAGCTGATCTATCAAAGAAAATGTAATGCCCAGCAGAAAGATTATTGTGTAAAATCTAGAAATAAGATCTACATTTGACTTTGAACTTGCAATTTCTGAAATTGTTGCTCAGTTAATTATTCTAGAATTCTTCTGCACAACCTGTACATTATATTACCTTGGAAGTGTGATCAAGTGAAAAATAGCAAACAGAAGATGTGAGGGGTTGGTGCACTTGATAAGTCTTCCTTACATATCAAACCTGCTTTTAAACAAGGTCATGTACTGGCTATACTGAATGGCATATCCTACATTAAAAAAAAAAAAAAAAGAGAGAGAATGTGTACCAAAAACAAAAACTGTTTTGTCGTGCTGAGTATTGCTGAACTTGCTATTTTTAGTTTTAAAACAACAACAACAACAACAACAACAACAACAACAACAACAACAACAACAACAACAACAACAATAATAATAATAATAATAATAATAATAATTAATAATAATAAATAATAATAATAATAAAAGAAATAAATAAGCCAATCCTAAAGATAAAGTTTCAAATATAAAATAGATCCTAAAGCCACATGATATTGCTTTAAACATTAACAAAAGCTATTAATCAGAACAGCAGCACTAATGAAAAAAGATATTACAGGATCAGCCTTATTTGACTAGTTGACAACTAGCAAAAATAAAGTGCAAGAAATCAAAATTTTTCTCTTCAAATATTAGGAACAAAAGAATGGAAGCCACTTTCAGCAGATGTGATGAAAAAATCTGCAGAAAAACATATTTATAAAGTATAAAGCCAGAAAGAATTGTTACACTTATTTACAATGAAATCCATAGGGTTTCCACAGGGACTTGTTTGAATTAAGGCATAATATTTAGGCAAAATATGCAACATTGATTTTAAATTTGCCAGTAGTGAATAATTTACTGTGTCCTTTTCTAAAGCTGTCCTAACGCCTTTTACTCATCATGTTAAAAATATAAGCGACTGTCTCCAAACTAAACGCACACGGTGCCAACTTGTTGGGGCTTTATCTTTAAAACTTACCCCTTTCAGTGTTGTCTTGCTTTCTTAGTGTGACTTGCTGAATAACCTGCTCTAAAGCACAGGATATAGACCACACAGCATGGAAATATGTCCTGATGGTCCTCACTCAGAGGGATACAGGTTTTGTGCAAGTAGCTTTGTCCATGAGTCTGCGGAGCAAAGGAGGTGCAACAGCTCCAACACTTGCTCAGTTGGCACATACTGGTTGCAGGAGCTTTTTCAATTCATAGACTAGTCTTAGCAACTACAGCCCCAGCCAAGCACATGGAGCCAAGTTCTGTTCTTAGCTACACTGATGTAATTCTGAATAGATGCTGGCCTGTTTTATTCATTCATAGCTCATACTAGTGTTAATGTATTTGGATATGAAAATAACGCTTATTCAGGCAACCTCCCACTCATGTAATATTATTGTTCCCACCAAAATTAATGAAAGATTTGACTAAGTGAAGACTTCAGAATTTTGTAAATATTCAGTCAGTGTATAGTTCGCTGCCAAATTCCAACTTGTTTGCCACTGAGGTAAAGGCAACTGCTGAATTTATTGGAATGCATCTCCTTTCAAACTGCCTCATAGTTTCATTTAAACCAAAAGAATCTGCATGCTTGAAAGAGGAATTTGGAATAGTAAATGTTTCAACCAGTCTGTGTGGAAAGTGTTGGTCCGTATTTCCTTTCACCCTAGCATAAATTTGGGAGAATCAGCTTTTACTCTCAAATATTTTTGATGCAAGACAGTTAAGAGATGTGCTGAGCTTTTTTTCCTGTTTTTGCTTTCCATATTTGAAAATAAAAAATGTTAGCTAGCAGTGCTTCTGTACTCTAAGTAAATAAATATTCCACTTTATCTGAATTCCATAGTTTATATATGTGCCTATATAGTGACAATTCAGTATTTAAGCAATAATTTTAAAAATTTTCATATTTATAAAAAAGTTATGGGTTTTGACTTAATGGCCTAGGATGAAACCAAGGTCAGATAACACTCTACCAAACTGGCTGTCAACTTAATTAATGACTGATTTGCTCCGGATTATTACTATTATAAACCAAATTCAGTGTTTTAGAACAGAAGTTATACTTTTTGTTGCTCCACCCACCCTTAAGTTAGTTACGACGTGATCTGAGGCACATTTAAGAGAGCTACTATTTTTAATGTAGACTTTCAATCTTTATGTTTATCCTGACTACCTTACACATTTGTATTTTTAGTAAAAATCCAAACCTAGTAATTTATCAATATATAATTCAGCCAAAAATCTAAACACTTAAATTAGGCAGAGAGGGCACAAAGAAAAGAAATGAGTATACTCCTGCTTCTTGTATGGATAAAACAGATGCCAATTAAAATTAACCTCAAACCTACCCGGGTGTATACTGCCTGAATCTGTTAGGAACTTTTCTCTCCACACATTTCTTTCACCACTGTTACAAAAGAGAAATGCAGTTGGAAGAAAACTAGTGTAAACTTCATGCAAATGATTCATACTGCTTCTGTATTGCTGTATTTTACCGAAGCAATGCAAAAGATTGTAATACTAGCACAATGCTTAAAAAACAGCAGTATATTTTGAATAAAGAGCTCTGCATTCTCCTGGCAGCCAAGGAGTTCAAACAGAAAACATACCAGCAGTATAGACCAATGCATTATCACCCCCTCCCTCTTGCTGCATAACTGTGCTTCATAATATGCCATAACATTGGCAAGCACAGCTCAGAGCTTTTTAAGAACACAAGGAAGCTCATGAATAATGGTTGAATCAGGAAAGTGATAATTAAATGAGACAACTGAATGCCAGTGGAGTCCCTAGTGGAAAATACTGTTCAGTGAAGATCATCTCTACCTTTCATTTCCCTGGTTTTATCAGTACCCTGCTAAAGATATTTTTCAAACTAACATTTTCAAGACAATATGAAAGTTCCCAAAACCATGTGCTGTATTTTTGTATGTAACTCCTATTTTAAAATGTAAGGTATTTGTTGTGCTTCAAAGAATAAATTAAAAAAAAAGCTTTCATTGTTGACTCAGTGAGATAAAATATTTTGCTGTTTTACAGAACTGGTTAACAACATAGAGCATATTAAAAAATGCAACATTCACTAATGGCTAAATTGTAAGCATTCTGGCTTAAATGTCTGTTTAAGTTTCTCCGTATATGGGAGGTATAGTTTTTTCACCTCCAATTCCACCTATGCTGGGGCCTCAGAACAAACATGGCTAGCTGGAGTGTCTACTCTTCAGCCGCCAGTCTGAAGGAAGACAGCTCTAAGCTTTTTATACAGCAAGTGTCTCTACTAACTTCCCTTCTGTCACAGCACAACATTCCTTCTGAACTTGTGATGCAAGGAGAGGCTGCCATGTTTTTGCACATTATTCAGACTGCAGTGGGACTTACAGCCAGAAGCTGCAAATTGCTGACCCAACTCGTTGTTGTTGTTTGTATTTGCCAAATAAATGCTTCTCCCACAGTACAGGAGTTAACCTCTCAAAAAGGAAATGAGAAATGAGTCTCATGATGGAACAAAAAAGTTGCTTTCTATTAGAGCACTAAAAGTTGAAGTGACTCCAATGGCTTGATATTTATGTGGACATGGCAGTGAAATGAGACTGTGACTATAACACGACAGTTTTTGTGAAATACAGTGTATGTAATATTCATTCATTCATTCATTCATTCATTCATTCATTCATTCATTCATTCATTCATTCATTCATTCATTTTTTATTTGAAATAAAATCTTCCTTTTTTACCACCTGACACTACATTATTTAAAAAAAAGCCAAAACTGACTCACAATGGATCTCAGTGTTGCTTTTCAGACAAGCACAGAACATTTTTTTAATTGGCGGTTCTTATATTTCTAGCTTGACAGCTTTGCATTCAAGGTTGTCAGGATATTTTTAACATCTGAAATGTGTGAATTAAAAGATCTGGGGAAAATTGATTTGGGGTAGGTTGTTTATGTAAAACATCATACAGACTATTAGCATTTAACATATATTTATGTGATTTTTAGGAAAAATGCCTTGATTACTCTGGAAAATTCAAAGGAAGGGGTAGCAAACCTTATACTAAAAAGCACAAAAGGTCAAAAGCTTTATCACACCTTCATCATAAGGTTGCAGATACAGATTTTTCTCATTTTTAGAGGGAGGTTGTAATAGCCTATAAACATGATTTATTCACAACCAGTGTAGTTTTCATAAAGCCTTGATTCACTGTAATCAAGGTTCTATGTTGGATATGTATAAAGGCATAAACGGCTCTTAACTTATACAAGGAGAATGAATAATATGAAATTTCTTATTATTTTCCAATAAAGTATTTTCACACCCATAGTTGCTTGCTCCCTCTCTTGCTTCTCTAAGTGGCTCAGATAACTTAGCCAATGCAGATTTAACATCTAACGAGTGCACACAGATATTTTGGGACTCTCTTAGTTGTTCCATTTCCATCTTGTGCTGCAAAATTACAGCCTTTTTCTACCAGAGGAAGTGAACATGACTGTGTAACATTGTAGGCTAGGACACCCTTCTGAAAGTTGTAAAAGTCTGAATCACCTCTGCTCTCAGGCAGGCAGTATGATGTGAAATACTGACTAAAATGGTTATTTTACAGCCAGATTGGTTTCCTGATCCAGCTCACTGTGCAGGCACACAAGCAAGGCAGGGGAACATCAACTGAAGGTTCGTTCTTAGGTTGGCATAACTATGAAGATGTAGGCTCCCAATTAATTCCTTTATACGAGCTTGATTTTCCACCCCTAAATGAAAATGAAATATTTTATTTCATAATTGACTAGATTTTAAAATTTTGTTTTAATTATGTTTCAGATTTTTGGGGGGAGAGAGGGGTGAGAATTGTTGGGAAACTAAGATGATTTCTTCCACAAATTTTAGTTGTTAAACCAAAGAAAAATCAGAAAATAAGGTCTACTCTATGATGACATGCACAAATATTATTTCATATTTTTGCAGAGTACCTATGACACTGGCATTGTGGAAAAAGACAGAGATGACGTTATGCAGAGTGTTGTTGCCAATTACACATTAGAGATGATTCAGATTATTTGTCTGTGACTTCAGAAGACTAATAAATCATCGAAGGAAGTTCCCTATAGTTCCACATATGCTAATTTGTATATAAAAAGACGGGGAAAATGTCTTGAAATGCTAAATGAAAAAGAACTTTAAAATTTCAGTCTTGTTAATAAAGTTATAAATGTCAATAACCAATACAATCCCTTGTTTTCTGAAAAAAATAAGGTGCCTCTGATGGTATGGGTTATGAAAATTGATTTTAGCCCTGGTGTTTGCCTTTGTAATCTGCAGCGAGAATTTTTTTTGGTGAATAAGGCTATTATTATCATCTCAAAAAAGTTAGATTATTGCCCACACCAGGTCACAGATTTAGGTAAAGCATGTGTGCTTTAGTCTGGAATGTCAATGATAAGAAGAAATGATGGGAATAAAAACCAACACCAAAACAGGGTAAACACAAGACTTAATCTTAAATAACATTATTATCATATGTTTTGTTTAACAAACTATTTTAAATAGATAAAGGAATGCTTCTTATTGTATACACCCACACAAAAATGAAAGCTGCAATACTGAAAATTTCACATGTATACTTTTCTTTGACGGAAATTTCCTTGAACATAATTCTTTAAATATGATTTTTAATGAAAAAATATAACCTTAAATAGTTCTGAAAAGCTTCTTGTTCATAGTGAAGTGCATCTTTAATCTGTATGGTAGCATATTGCTTTTATTCAGATCACATTTAGAAAAATCTACAGTATCATTTCTAATGTTGAGACAGATTGAAGAACTCTTGAAGGTAACAAAATCTAGTGATAGGAGGGATTTGAAAAACAGGAACTTTCAAATTATTACTTTTTCTTTATCACTGCCTTTCAGGTAAGCTTGAGGCATCTCTCTTAAACAGCTTCAGTATTCACAGTTGTAGAAAAGACATGACAATATTTGAGTAATTCATAAATTTGTTAGAAGAAAAGATAAATTTCTGTTAGGAAATAAATTTCTGTTTGCAAAACATCAAAAGACTGATTCTTCATCTTGGCTTGCACTGAGACTGTGGGCAAAGAGGCAGTAAAATATAGAAAAAATCTGGATCACTAAAAAAAGGTTGATTCTGCCCCTTTACACAAACATATTTCTGACAAAAAGAGCAAATAGAGTACCAAATTTATTATATTGTCTCTGATTAGCCAAATGGATAATTGTAGTTTGTTTGTTATTTGTATTCTTCAGTTGTTCTAGAATAAATTTAATAAAGAGGGAAGCCTTTTCCTTCTTTCAGGTATAAAGAAACCTCAGAGTTAGGAAAAGTCAGAATTTTATGGAGTTTGCAGCCTCTTTTTTTAATCGAGCACCTTGCTCCAAACACTCTGAAAATAAACAAATTCTTGTAATGCTTCAACAGTCATGTTAAGGAGAAATTACAGCTATAACCAAGTAAGAGCTTTAGTTTTTCACATAAATGGGAAGATTACTATGGAAGTTATAGCCAGAACCATAAAAGTTTGTTAAAGCATGTTGATAAAGCCATAAAACTTTTTATGTAATCATTACTTTATATCACCTATATACTCACCTAAAATAGTTCAGAAGCTACTGAGGGCAAAATACTTGTTTTTCAGTGTAAAATTGTGCAGATCATATATTTGGAAAATGTTATTGCCTCTTCACTACAGAACAAGTATTTGCAATTGGCAAGGATTAACTTTTGCCATCTTTATGCAAATTCATTTTAGTTGGTGAAGTTATGAACATTTCAGAAATCTAAATTGGTACCTGCCTGAGTAAATATTTGGCAGAGTTTAGTAACTAAAATGTCCCAAACCTGCCCCCTCCTCATGATGTAGTTTGGACCTCTCTCAGTCTTTGCTACACTTCAGATCTGTTATGTCCAGAGAAGGTATTCCATTATCTCCCTTTTCCAATTCAGGAGACCTATACTAATCTGCACTGATTTTAGGATCCCAGAGTCACCATATTACAAACCATGTGGAGGTCTTCATTGCCATGCAGCAGGCTACAGACTTTCTTATTTAAATCTTCAATTCCTGATTGAGGCAAGAAACGTTAAATAAAATTAATTTTTAAATTATAACCCTTACTTGTACAAATAAATATTTCTGGAGAGCCTGATTCATACATTTCAAGCTCTAAAAATCCGTACAATAATGACTCTTCCACCTTCTACAACGGTACACAACCCTGTGAGATTCTGGGTTCCTGAAAGTGTGGAGCACACCATGCTCCCACTGCAATGACATGGCACTGTCTGACTGTCAGCATGCCTTGCCAGAGAGAATCAGTATGAAGAAGGAAGCTGTGCTAAAGACAGAGAACAACTGAGAGTAAAAACTATGTTTGCATCAGCTAACACTGAGAAATTAATGAAAAACACTAAACTCAGTATTCCTAATAATCAAAATAGACTTTGACTTCAGTTTCAAGGGCTAAATGTAAACTAAATGTTTAAGAAAATAGAACAGCAAGGAATGGTATAATACTGATGTCAAACATGCTAGAAACATCCAAAAACTAGCTGAGGGGTGATAAGCAAAAAGTAAGACTTATAGTGCAAGAATCTAAACCAGAAACTTGCATGAAGCACCTTACTCCTCATAGTGGATGCAGGAGTGTTTATGTGCTTCCAAACGCCGATTCAAGTGACACATCCAAGATCACTCAAGGAGGCCTTTGTGCCAGAGAAAAACTTTTATCTTGGCTTTCTTGAATTCCAGTGCAATAATTTAATTTCTTGATTACATTGAAAATCTGTTCAGGAAAGATTCACAAGTATTTAGAAACAACTCAGCTTTCCAACTTGTGTGTCGACTTTTATTTTTAATTTGTATTATGTAAGACATATATGGAGTAAAAAAGCACTTGTATCAGTCATGTGAACATATAAACCTCAACTGTAAAGATCAGAGGCTAAGAAAGAGTACTACATATGGTCTTAGATATCTCTTGATACCATTTATTCTCCTTAAATAATGAAAACCTGATGAAATTAAGTCATCTAATACTCCCATTATTGGAATTTCAGAAATCCTTTCTTTTTGTGATATTTCTCATACCTTAGACCATCTTCAACCTCAGAATATTCTCTGTGCAACTAATGGGATTTTGCTCCAGTTCAAAAAATAACAGTCATAGTCTTCACCCAGTGACTCAGCTCAAAACACTGCCCAAATGGTGGATTTTTCAGTTGTTAGTCCAGCTCATGAAACATGGGTGCATTGAAACTGTTCTACAGCCTTGAATAAAACATCTACGTTAATGCTCCAGTAATTACACTGTGTACATATGGAATTAGAGAGTTGTATTCATAATGCCTCAATTAAGGAATCTGTTATAAATATATACTTTCAGGGACTAAACTCTTCAGAGAAATTATTCTTCAAATTTTGGTAAAAAGCTGTCAATCATTTGTGAAATGAAAGTGGAATTTTTTTGAAGTAGTGCTTTGGTTTTTTTCTTCCCATCCAAAAACACATATTGCATAATAGAATGCATAATTTCAGTAAGCCTGAAGGTTCTTTTCTCTTTGTGGAGCATGACCCTGTCTCCCATTAATTTTGCATGTGAAATGAAAAGTTGAAATCTAAGAGCTGTATCTTATGGACTTGTTTCCGGTGGTGGGTTAATTTGGCTTGTAAAAAGGTGTCAGTTCCAGCTAAAACTTAATAGATTTGAAGTTTCAGTAAGTTTGGAGGTTTTTTGTTTTGTTTTCTTTTCCTTTATGCAAAAGAAAGTATAAACTTGTCCTTTAGACATTTTTCTCATTTGGGCCACATACTTTCTTTTGCCCATTCATCTACCAACTTTATTCATCACCACTTCAGAGTACTATCTGTCAAGGCAGACTGATACTGGCAGTAGATTTAAAAATTATTGTATGTGGGAGGACACACTCATTCCAAGTGCCAGCTAAGCTCAGAGAAGGCCCTTTATTCTAAAGTGTTTGAGTTAAATGAAAATTATGTACAGTGGAGATAGCCATTAAAGGATCTCATCTGTTACTGTAGTAGATGAAGTAATTTGAACTGAAGTGATTTACACTATCCAGTAATTACCTTTCTAAGCTCCACCACAGTTACACTGAAATTGCATAAGGCACATGATATGTCTTTTGTAAAGCCAAAGACGCAAACAAGATAGAAATTACACTTTTAAGCCTGAATTCTATGCCCTACAAGCACCTATTTCTTCAAGAAAGTTTGAAGAGAATTTGGTTTGACTTTACATGTGAGGGCATAGCTTTAGATGGAGCTTCTCAGATCTGGCATAATGTACAGGATGTACATTAATGTACAAGTTGAAAGATCTGAGTAGCAGATTTTCAGATTAGTGGCAGTGATGTCTCTTTTTTTTACGTAGACTCTTTGATTCAGGATGTTAAGTTATACACCTGGATTTCTTGACGATGTTTCTGTGCAGACCAAATACAATTTTGACAAAATCCTGGTTTATTCAGGTTTCTTGCAGTCTCTAAATCTAACCATTGCTAAAGATCATAGACTGTGCCATGGTACACAGATGATGAAATGCTGTGTACTGTATTTCTCTCCTCCAGTCATTCATTTCCCAAACGACCCCTCTCTTCTGAGCAATATGATAATGTTGAAGTACTTATTGATCATTAATATGCCATTTTCTTTTTTAAGGGAGAGGCAAAAGGGTGAAGTTTCACTTGTAAAAAAGGTGACAATGAGGGGGGTCTTCAAGCATTTCAGTCCTCTGACAGGTCTTGCTCAGTACAAGAAAATTAGGATATATGGCCAGATCATGGGTAGTCACATTATCATTGCTAATCTACCAGCAGCTGTTTAAAAACTGGTTTTAAGCTCCTTACCTAAACTCACACCATACCCAAGATTGTCTCCTTTCTTTTGCAGTTTTTTTTTAACAGGTATTAGTCCATGTGCACAGCTCCTTGCAGAAATATATGACACTGGCTTTAAAACATCTGATTAGTTTGACTTTTCAAGTAATCATTCAAAAGTGAATCGTCTCCTAACAAATAATCAGAAATTTACAAGTGACAGAAGCAGGAGATTAAAGCATTTATCCTGATGACTTTCTACTTTGCAAGCACCATATGTGCATAAAAACAGGTCCCATCCCAAAGCCCTATTCCCTTGTAGCTAACTACAGATTTACTGAAGGCCAAAAGTGGACAAAGGAGTGGGGAAGAGAGCATTAATAGTGCTGAATGAAGCAC